TGGCGAAGCCCTCGGCATTCGCGTGACCCCCTCGGCAGAGGTTGAAGCTCTGGAAGAACAAGTCCAGGCTGGGGGTCACCCCTCGGTCCCTGCAGAGGCTCAAAAAACCCGCCACGTAGGAGTGGCTATTAGGTGTCAGCTGGCAGGGGACCAAGCCAACAAACCTAAGGTACTCCCGGAGGAAGGGGTGCAGAGGGAACCGAAGGCCCATGGAGACCGACAGTACGTGTACTGCAATACACCCCTCGGGCGCCCGAGACAACACATCGTCAAGTCCCGGCTCGACCACCACGGCCGAGGGCCCTAAGTGTAGCTGCGTGACGTAGAGATCCGACCTGTCCGCCTTCGACTTTATCTCCAGGGCAGCAGTATTGAGCCAGGAATACCCCTCTGGCATATCCACGGGTTTCCCCTGATCAGCAGCAACAATCTTCTTCTTAGGGGCAGCTACCTTGGCCTTCTTCTTCCCGGGGGCCACCCGGATGGGAACTGCGTTCAGCGGCTGAGAGGTACTGGCCTCACCGGCACCCCGAGGGGGAAGGACGGCCACGGTCACCCTCGTCCTCTCCTTTGCTTCCTCCTCCTCTGCAACCTGCATGGCGAGGGCTAACTCTTCGTCTTCCACCTCCTGCTCGAAGCCCTCGGCTTCAACTTCAGCTAGCAGCTCCTTCTGCACTTCTACTGCCATCACAACGTCCTCCTGGGCCGAAGGCTGTGTACTGGAGGACTCCACATCTGAGAGGACTTCATCCTCCATCGAGGGCGCCCCCGAGATGTCTTGAGAATCACTCTGGGACGACATTATGGCTCTAGCTCGAGGGTTCGGAAGAACTAAATTTTTTTCGAAATATTCTATCTCCTAGCCTAAGGGCACAATACAGCTAGCTAAGAGGTGAGATGCGAAGGGGGGAACTGACCTTAAGAACAGAGGATTCAACCGAGGGCTGCTGTTTCTCTCTCTAGAAAAATTGGCAGAGCTTCGCTAGCAAGGTTTCGCACAAGGAGGGATGCCTGGCCTTGGGGTATTTATAGGCGCTGGAATCCGGGCTTGGGCCCGGAAACCGGGCCTCCGGACGGACCGTCATCATTACTCACCGTGTTTTGACCCAACCGGTGACGCCGCCCACGGACAGCCAACCGTCACGCGCCACGTGTCCTCCTCCCCCAACGGCTATATCCTGACGTTACATATTCCAACGGCTATATTTCCAACGGCTATATTCTGGAAGCCCCCGGGTGTTCTTACTTCACTCCACTTAATCAAGGAGAGCCTCCGGGTACACTTACCCGGAGACACCCCCGGGTTGTGCCCACACAGTACATAACAGACGCCTTCGGCATCACTCCTTCAGAAACCCAAGGCTTCATATCAGGCCACCCCTCGGGGATTCCCCCTCAGCACCGTAAGGACCGGGTATCCCCCGGGGAGTTGCGTCATTGACGGATAGCCTACGGCACACAGGTAATGGGAGCCCCCGGATATCCCCATCACCAACTAATCAACAAGCAGGGGACCCCCCCGGTGACAATTCAACTACTGCCCTCATCCATCGCGCCCTCGATCCCCAGATTGAGGGGCTCCCCTTCGGCACCCCCGGGACATCAACAGCAAGCCTTCGGCTAATCAACACATGAGCCCTCAGGAAAAGGAGAGCCTTCGGCATTACCGTTATTCTCCATTTTTGACCAAGGTTTAACCTTTTTGATTCATCCTTGGGGGAATTCGGTGCACTCTTTTTCCCTCATTAGGATTTTTTTCCCACAGGGTTTTTCCTAATGAGATTTTTAACGAGGCATCCCCCCAAAATGAAACGAAAAGCGTCAGCCTTCGGCTCACAACAGCAACGCAACTACTCTACTCCTTTTCACCACTTTACAAGTGCCTCAAGGAGTGGGGGACTGGAGGACCCCCTCAGGAAAATCATTAAATCACAAAATTGGTGAAAAATTCCAACAAACGGCAAAGCAAGCCCTCAAGTCCCGACATGTGGGTAACTGAGGGACTGCCTTCGGCAGGGACATGCAAGCGACAAACCAACCTCAGAAGACACAAATTACTCCTTTTCCCTCAAGTACCTTTCGGCAAAAGGAGTGAGGGACTCTTGATGGAGTATATGGCCCGAGAACACCCGGCCCACAGACTCCTACTACTCCAGTGAAGGCCCAACAGGCCCAAAAGGCCCAAAAGGCCCAAGTCACAGCGCCCAGAGTGCCAAGCAGCCCGCAAAGCGCACCTAGGCCGCCTTCGGCCCCCTGGCCGAAGGCTCTAAACTCTCACAGAACGGGTTTTTCAAGCAAACTAAGAAACTGGGAGAAAAACGGCAGAAAACAGTAGCCCTCGGCGCCTAGAGCCCTCGACACTAAGAGCCCTCGGCTAGTCCTCTGCAGCCGAGGGCACCTCTCCCGACATGATATCCGCACCACATGCGTACAGATCACCGTACCCTGTACAGATGTCCCATCCAACAGCCGCATTAAATGCGGCCACATGCGGCTGCCAACGCCAACCAGTTGAGGTGACCTCTCGGCCAATGGGCGCTTGACGCGTGTCCCTGTCCGGCATTTATTGCTACTATAAATAGCACCCCATTTCCCTATTTGTAACCACGCTGAAAACGCTTTAATGCCTCAACTCAATATACTTTCTCTCTCTTACATGCTCTGACTTCTCTCTTGTTATTCCCTGCAATAACCCTCGGATAAGCTACCCCCCGGGTACACTATCCATCATAAGTATATTTAGCATTTTTTCATTCAAATACGAGTATAACATGTCAAAGAAATTGATAAAGAACGGTTAGAGAGATTATATTTAAGTATTTGATAATTGACATTTGAGAATACCATGTACCAAAACGGCTCAATGGAAAAGTAGAACGATTGTTAATAGTGCATAATTTTGAATTGGGAAAAGATGTGAAAGTTATATCATTTATGGAGTAAAATTTTCATATCTTGATTCACATTTTCACTAGACTAAAACAAATTGCCAATTTCTAAATCATGGGTACGCTAATTTAATCTTTCACTTACACGAGAGAACAGAAAAATTAGCAAAATACTATCAATGAGTCATGAGTTTACATGAGAGAAGTAGATGAAAATATTGACATTTATGCGCTAACGTACACTTAATGAATCAAAAACAAGTGTTAAATTTATTCACAAACAATTCTGGTATAGATGTTTCAAAATTTTAGAATTTAGTTCGTAGATGTTGAATAAAAAATTGAACCCCCGTAATGAAAAAACTATAACTTTGATTTGATTTTTAATTTTTATATATTAAAATACAAACATATATATATAAAATTCTGGTCAGTTCGGACTGACCAGAACCGCTTTGCGGCCAAGCCCGTTTGAGGGCTTTCCGAGTTACATTTTTTGATGAAATATTATGAACATGTTCGTCATGAAGTGATTCGCTCAAAATTTCAGCTTAAAATTCAATTTGAAAATCAGTTAAATAAATTGTTGAAAAACATTGCGATTTTTATGCATATGTTTGCGCAATGTTTTTGAAGAATTTATTTAACTGACTCCCATTTGAATTTTTTTATGAACTTTTATGTGAATGTTTTACATTTCATGAACAACGTGTTCACAAAATTTCATTAAAAAAGTCAACCCAAAAGGCTCTCTCAAACGAGATTGGCCTTACGGCGGTTTTGGACTGACCAAAATATTCCTCTTACATAACTGGAAAATTTATGGGCCCCGGGGAGCAATGGGCCCTGGGCGCAAGCCCCTTTGCCCATGCCCCAGGACCGGCCCTGGTCTTCATTTTGGGACGGAGGGAGTATCACATTCCCTTAATCTTAACCAAACACAAATGAGAATGAATTGAATACATTCTTATCAATCTGACATTCCCGTTGTAATCTGATATTTCCTGAACCAAACATACCCTTATAGAGTTGGAGCTACTGTTCCTAGGTTGCCGTACGCCCCTGCCATCAGTTTGCTAGAATCTCACCGTTATCGGAGTTCGCCGCCATCACTGTTGTCGGAGTTCATTGCTGCCGCAAATATGTTACTAATAGATTGAACTTGGTTATGCAAGAAATTTAAGATGCAATTTTTTTTATTAGTTATTTAGATTAGGGTAATATTTAGTCCTACATAACAAAAACATCCAAGTGTATAATCTTATTTTTAGATGAATACTCCATCTGTCTCCCAATTAAGTTATCACTTTCCTTTTTGGGCAGTTCCTAAATTAAGTTCACACTTCCTTACTTTCCTTATTTGGCAAATTATCTACATCAAAACAGTATCAAACAGTGCCAAACAGTGTGAAACAATGTTTGAACAGTGCAAAACAGTGCACTCCACAGTAAATTCAATTTTATTTTCTTAATACGTGTGAAGTCAAACCGGGAATTAATTGGGAGACGAAGGGAATATTATTTTGCATATTTTATATTTTAATCATAGTTTGAACAGTTATTTCTATTATTTTGACTAACATGCTCTTAATCAAACTCTTGCGTACTTTGATTGATCTGAAAACTATGGGGATTGGGGTCCTTTTCTGATACTTTCTTTTTTGTGTATGGAAAAATAACTAAAGATGGGCGTGGACATGGATATTGATCAGGATATGGACTGATGGACTTCGTCTCCATCTTTAATACATATCGGTGCTATACATACATCATATATGTACGGAGTATTGCCTTGTCAGGACTGAATTTACCAAAGTACCCACCCATTTTTTGGAGACAAAAGATTACATCCAAGAATGGAAGATCCTGGAATTTATTACCCTGCTCGGCAAATCTTCGCCATCAATCAAGGTTTGCTTTTCCCACAGACGAAAGGGTAAAGTCTTCTTTCTCGGTCTTCCCTAACCCTACCATTGATGCCTGTCTATAGCTTGAAGATAGAATTGGAATACAGCCTAACCCAGGGTAAATTGGGGAATTCCCCACCCACCACCCTCCCCATCAAAGCCTAAAAACAAGGGTACTACCAAAAACTGCAGCGAATCAGAAAGCATCCACTCTTTCTCTCTCCCCTTTCCCTTCACTGCTTTTTTATTATTATCAGCATCTTTCTCCTCAGTTTCTCTCTCCCTCGTCAAAAAATCAATCAAGAAAACAAATAAAAACGCAATCTTTATTATTCTTTACTGTGTAGCAGAGCAAGAAAGAAGGAAGAAAACACTCGAAATTACACATGCCCATCAAAATCAAAATGGCCCAGCTGGACCAAGATTTGTGCGTGTAGAAGAAAAAAAGGGAAACCAGGGGGGTGTACGTGAGAGGCCGTCTTCAATGGACCTCAATTCCAAGATTTCACACAACCAAAATTAGGGGGAGAAAAAAACAAGATGTTGCCACAAATACCCTTCTTCTCCTGCTACAACAAGGGAAAAAATTCCCCAACTTCATCATCAGCAGCAGCTATCATCTTCCTACACAATAACAACAGCAACAATCAATGTTTTATATATATAATCTTAAATACCATATTTCCACACCCGAATTACGTGGGCTTTTTGGGCTTTGTATTGGTCAGAGTTTTCTTTCACAGAGAAAACAGCAAAGCTCTAAAGAACCTTCCCACCACCACCTCCCCCCTTCCTTATCTCTCTGTCTTTTCTTTATTTCTCTCCTTGCACGCCTCTACTTTCTATCTTTCCCTCTCCTTTCCTCTCTCTCTTTCTCTTTCTCTCCTTCTGCACCCCCTTGATTGTCGTTCGGTCTGATGTCTAAGAAGATGAAGAGGATTTCCATGGAATCGTCAAGTTATGGTGGGTATGAGGATGCTAGGGCTAGAGAAAAGCACCAGGTTCTCTTCCAGGACTTTCAAGAACTGCAAATGGTTGGTTGCTTTTTGATCTCTCTTTCCAGATCTGTTCGTGGTTTACGTTTTCGGTTGAACTCGATCCTTGATCTGATTTAGGGTTCTTTTTAACTTGGTTCCTGCTTTAGGGTTCTTTTACAACTTGATTCTTGATTCAGGGTTTCGTTTGGCTTCAAGTTGTAATATATTTTGTAGGATGATATCAAACCCTTGGATTTCATTATTTCAACTAATTGCACTTATTGGATGTTGATTACTGATTTTTTTTGTTTTATATGGTGAAATAAAAGCACACGCCTTTACTCTTTTTTTATGTTGAAGGATCTACTTGTGTAAGCTCTTATTTTGATTATGAGGGTTCTACGAACTTTAACAGTTTTTGGTATTAATTAGTAATGGTCGCTGCCTTTAAAATTGTTACGAGTATGTGACCTGTTTGGTTCCTCTTATTCTTCCTCCTATCCTTTGTATAATTGTAGGCTTTATTTTCTTTTCTGTTTTATTTGTTTATAAACTTATACCTTCATTTTGTTTTATTAATAAATAAAAATCTGCACTTTGTATGTTTTTATGCAACATGTTGCTATAAAAGTTCAGTGAATTGAAACCTTGCTTGACCTGTTTCCGTTTATTGAAAATCCAGAACATGTTTCCTAATGTCATTATTTGATGTGATTTGTGTGCTAAAAAGCGTGTTGCTTTCTCCTTCTGCTTGCATTTTATGATAATGATGATGATATATGTTTCCCTTCTTTATACATTCCATTAATAGGTGTATAAATAAGTTCGTTGAGGACATATATGCTTGATAATTGACGTGTAATTCTATTGTTTATAGGAAATCAACAGCAGAAGAGAAAAATTGGATGATGTGAAGAAGCAGAAGCTGATTTTACTTGCTGAAGTTAGGTATGATGCTTACTATCTCTTTTGTAGTTTTTTATTACATTGAATTAGGTGACAAACTAAGCAGGATATGAGCCCGCCTAGCTGTGTTTAGGCAGAAATGTGACTGAATTCTTTGGTGGGATAAACATCAGTGTCTGTGTTTGTTTACAAGTGTCGCCTAGCTGTGTCTAGACGGAAATTTGACTGAATTCTACAATCGAGGGATAAACATCAGTGTCTATGTTTGTTTACAAGTGTTTTTAATTTTGCAGATTCTTAAGAAAGAGACGATCATACCTACTGCAATTGAATTCAATGAACAGGCCACAAGAGAACAACACTCTAACCCTGAAAACGGAACCAAATTCTACAATCGGGATGAAGGGCATTAGGCCTTGTAAGAAAGAAGCTGGTCCACAGAAATTACCACCACCTGTACCCGGCTCAAACCCAAAGCAGAAGGGACGAATAGGCATGGGAAAAAAGGAAACTGCTTTGCAGGACATCACTCCAACACTCCCACCAAATATGAAGCATCGACATAAACGGCAAAAGATAAGCAGTAGTGCGAAGCAACCTACTGCTCTGCCTAGTTTGGGTCCGGCTTATGATTATAACCATGGTGGTTCCAAGACACACAACGGGAAAGACTCCATTTTCCATTTGCCAACACAAAATGCTATTGATTTGAACCAAAATGTGAGATTGCTGTACGATGGGAACAGTGCTGTCATGAGGGGGACCCATGTCCCGCTTTTTGATCTAAACCAGGAGAGCAGTCTCAGCTGGAAAGACATTTCGCCTCCATCTCGAGTCCCATTTGACTTGAATGAGATATCGGTAAATCCCATTTCTTATGCTTAAAAAGTTTACTGTTTTGTAATGCTTAAAATGTCTGAAGTTGTGGAGTGCTCCGCTGAATTATCTTTACAAAAGATCTTAACATATATACTTTGGAAAGAGGCTTGTCCTATAAGATAACTAAAATATAATTCATGAACAAAACTACAAAAGTATGTGTACATGGTTACTATACACATCGAAAATACTCTGCATGGTGATTGGTGTGAAGCTGAACATCACCATTGTCACTAATCGTTAAACAAAACTTCAACTTGGTAACTAATTTTCCATGAGTTTGATTTTAGTCGTATATTCTCATTGTATGTTTTCATCCAGTTACCACAAAAGTAACTATTGTTTTTATTTTAATTTTAAATATCTTGTTGGCTGTTGGTATTTCTTTAACATTTTCCACACCGATTCTGTTTAACAGACTGAGGGAGAAGAACCGAGGTGGAACTTTGAACCGTCGATGTTACAAGAGGAGACCGAAAGAAGTTTGATGAGAGGAGGTGTAAATGAAGATCAACACGGTGGGGATTTAAGGATTTCTCTGTGTAGGAATGCAGGGGGCGAGGGTACGTCTAGGGCAAGGAAGCCCAAAATATCGTGGCAAGACCCTGTTGCCCTTCGGGTTTGATCCTCACTGTCCTCCGTCCACTGCCATAGCCAAAGTCTATATATATAGCACAGTATGTATGGGGCTCTAGTAAGTTATAATAGTAGTAGTAGTGTGTCCCATGTTTTTCCTTTGGAGAATGACAATTTGCAAGATATATATATATATAATATAATATGTGTATACACGATGTTTGGCATATGCAAATTCTTGAAGATTAGCAAACACGAGATGGACTCTATTTTGTGTTATTAGATTGATCAGAAATTCTTTTCTTTTCACCATTTTTGACCAGCACATATGCGGGGGGGATGTTAGTTACACGGTTTATGATACGGAGTAGCAAATCCGTCTAGGACTCTTTCTTCAAGAGTGGAATAAATTCTTGATCGGTGTGAAATTTTCCACGAGGAAAGTATCCTTTGTTCTTTCCTTGTTGGTGAATTAATGTCGACTACCCGTTATCCATTTTAGTTATTTAGTCATTATTATTGACACCTATTGAAAGCAAAATTGAAGGGTAAATGATCTTTCCTTTGTATAATTTATGAACGTTTTTAAGTGACCTGCCTTACATGAGTGTAGAAAAAAGTGTACAACTTTGCTCTTCTTTTTTAACCACTTTAATCAATTTCTTTTCTTTTGAACAACTTTTATTAATTTCAGCATTCTTAACTTTACAATGTGCAGATTCCCCGTCTTTCTTCTTATTGATAAATGACATGTTAATGATGTTATATGATCATCAGGAAGATATACAGAGTATAATTCTTGGGTTGTTGAAATAAAAACATTCAAATTGCGCATCTTTTTAATACATTTTGTCTGATGTAATTTGACCATGTTCAAAATGTGTTGGTTGTCAACTAAAATTATAAATTAAAACTAGAGTTAGTTTTGGAACTCAACAAAAGTTTCTGATAATAAGTTAATAACACCCGCCAATACTACTACAACAATCTATATTTGTAAGTTCAAATACTTGCAATAAAACTCAAGAATATTCAAAGCTGAAAGCTCTTTAACTACTACTCTGAAAAAGTATATTCCTATCTCGTAAGTTAGGCTGTCTTTTAGTCAATAAAGGGTACATCTGTTTTATAGAACACAAGTGATGATCAGAATTTGCTACACATAAACCCGCTTGTTGAGAAGTATATTTCTCAGGGCTTAACACAACAGCTATCACTAACCTTTATAATCAGGAACAATACTTGTTTGTTAATGTGAACCTAGTTTTGCCTCCACATACAACTAACAAGAATGAAGCTAAACAATCTTCCTGCCTCATTGCTGCTGCTTTTCAAATCCCGGCATTGTCCTTCTCCACCTTAGACAAATGCTTCTTCCCCGTCTTATGGTCTTCCATCACTTCTGATGAAAAAGTTCCTGTCCCGCAATTCTCACACGAGAATGTGTAGTTTTTCCTCTTTTTCACCTCAGTCTTTTCTTGGGTTTGACCCGATGCTGCACTTTTCTCATCGGTAATTACCAGCATTGAGCTTTCTCTGGGCATGTCGAGCTTTGGGCTGCTCAGGGAAAGGCCAATGCTGAAGTTCTTCCCTGGCGCTTCTTTGGCCTTGTGTTTCTTCCCTTGGAAGTGATCATTTAAGCTCGTCTTACTAGTGGCCGTAATTTGACATAGGTCACAATTCCAATCTTGTTTGATTTTCTTCTTATCAAGGAGCTCACCATTAATGACTACCTCTTGCTTTAACCCTTCAGACACATCTCCATCACCAGTCTTCGGCTGCGACAACGAATAGTAATCATTGGATTGATGTTTAAGAAATTCAAACAAGTTCTAAAGTCCCTTTTTAAATTTTTTATTGATGTTTTAAGAACACAGTTTAAAGGAAATTGTTTTCATAGAACAAGCATTACCACTCCATTTGGTTTCACGGAAAAACAACTTGCTGTGCAAAATGTTTTCCGAGATGCACATTTCTCAGAAAAACGTTGTTCAATATACTCGCACTCTGTATATACTACATAATGTTTAACCCCAAGTTTTTTAAAGAACTGTTTTTAAATAAACAAGGACTCAGTTTTTCACAAGTTAAAATATATTATAGTAAATATAGGATAATGTTTCAAGGAATGTGTTTTTCAAATGCCAAACACGTAACAATCCTATAAACATTTTCATCGAGACAGATGCAGCCTAAGTTGATGTTTACATTTCTTCAAATAAAGTCTTTATTTGTTTTTTCCTTTAAGAGGCCGTTTGATAACACTGTATTTTGGCTTATCAGGCTTATCAGACAATTTTTTCACTTAACTTTTGTTTTCACGCGCTGAATTGTGTAATAATAAGAAAAAATAAGGTTGGAGTTACTTTTCTGACTGTATTGGCTGAAGTTAATTTAGATGATCATTTTAGCTATTTCTACATATAATTTTTTCTTTATTTTATTAATAAAATGTATTTTAAAAATAATTGTTTCTTATATCAGCAGGATCGGCCAATGCAACCACTTCAGCCTGAACTTCATAAATTTCAGCTGAATAAGCCAGATCAGCCGATTTTCGTGATACCAAACCGGCTCTAAAATATGACCTATACGCTCCTCAATTCAAAGAAGAATTATTAAATACATTTAAATGAGGACAATGCAAAGACTTATTGGTATTTGGCCTATTCTTTACAGTGTTATTTCAATATATGTAGTGATTTTTTTACAAAACACCTCAATTTTCGCATCAAGGAAGTAAGGAACACTAATATATGAATACCTCAATATCAGCCCCAAGATTCAATATAGAGAATTAACTATACAACTAACACTATAAGTATGTAAACTTTATTACTACGTATTATGAAAATACATTTCTTCTTAAATTAGTTTTTGTAAGATTATATATTCCGTTGTCTTTTTCCGCGCTAAAAAGTTACTCAGATAGGATTAATATATTACGGAGTACTTTGTACTCCGTACATGTGTTTTTATTTTTGTTCCATTTAAATGATAATTAAAAGAAGGTTAAAGCCTACTGACCTTTAAGATGAGCCTGTCCACTTCTTCAGGAGACTTTGGAACATTTACATCATCTTTTGCAGCCCTCACATTCCCAGAGATTAACATGGCTAACCTCTCATCAACAAGCTTGACTATAATGTCCTCCAGTGACCTCTCATCAGGCAGTGCCACCCTGGGTTCTGCAGATCTCTTTACAAACTCCGCAGAAGAAGGAACTTTGGGGTCACCCCTTAGCATGGAAGCTTCCCTCTCCATCCTTAGCTCCATTCTGACCTCTGCTTCAAGAATCCTTCTTTGGGCATCCTCTTGTGCAATTATCTCCTCCCTTATTCTCTTCTTCTCTAGCTCTCTCTGAGAGTGTCCCAAATCTAAAAGAAAAGAACCAATCTTTTTGTTTCATTCAAAACTATAGCAATTACACTGTCACATTTCCTTCAAGGCTTCAGATTCATCCTCCATTGGCACAAAAAAAAGCAAAAGAAAAAAAATCAAGTCTTTGCAGACTGGTTATGCATTTCAAGAAACGGTCATAACAAAACTCCTCTTTTACCCAATGGATGAAACTAAAAGTGACAGACAACCATGTTTATCATTTACCCAAACATCAGAGTTAAGTAGCATTTACTGATTTTTTTGTTTAAGACAAAAACTTGAGAACAAAAAAGCGGATAAATGAAGGAGACCTGAAATGGGATGATCGGGCGGGAGAAAGAAGCTTGAAGATGGATGGTCTGGCGCAGGATACTTGAAATTCTTCATGGAAGCTAGGCTAAACAGAAGAGATATCACAGAAGGATGTAGGCGAATTTTATGGGAAATTGGGGGGAAGAAGCAGCTGGAATTAAGCGGAAGAGGAATGCCCTAGCTTCTTGCTATGATTTTGTGTAGTTTGGTGAGTAGTGTGATGTACCCAAATATAGAAAAAAAGAGAAATTGAGTTGAATCGCTTGGGTTTGGTTCATGCTGAAAGTGGACGTAAATGAAACTATAGTTCATAGGCACTTGGTTGGCCGATAACTCTTTTTCTGCTGCCTTTAGTTTGACATGAATTTCGCGATTCTCTACTTTTAAATACTACCTCTCCTGGCCTAGCCCCACATAAAACTTTACACAGACGTAGTATAATAATGAAAAGTCTAATAAGTACCCGCACGAATAACTCAGTTGGTCGAGTGGTAGGAAAATTGGACCAAGTGACCAAGTTTCGAAACCCGCAGCGGCCGTGCGGAGATACAGAAACTGAAATAAGGCTGGACCTCTGGTGTGCACGTGTATAAGGCCTATCGACGCTTTGCTGACTGAATCACCGTGATTAACTTCTCCACCATCCTGTCGGGTCAGGGTGGAAGATCTTGGGGTTGGGCATTCAACCTTTGGACCAAATGAAAAGTCTAATAAGTCGAAAGTAGAATAGAGTGCATCAACTTTACACAAAGCTGTACAAATTGAGTTTTTTTTTGTCAAAATAAAAAATTATTTACGAAAGTAGAGTTTAACAGGGTTGACGAAAGTCTAATAAGTCGAAAGTAGAATAGAGTGGTGACTTACAAGTCGCCAAATGATTTGGCGTTTCTGCTTTGAACAAAGCGCAAGAGAAGGGAGAGAAATCATTGCTGGGCCCATGGTATAAAAATCGCATTTTTTCTTTAAAATTTTATACTCCTTCTGTCTCATTCAAAGGTTCCCGTTCACTATTCAAATGGTCAATTTAAATCATTCTTAATCTTTTCCTTTATATATCAATTTTTTTTATCAAATTTACATTTTTTATCAGGCTTTGTAGCGGTTTTAATGTAGCTTCTGAATATGCAAATTTTATTTACTAAAAATAGTCAGAGTTTGAGCAGGGATTAAGTTGTTTTATCATCAGTCAAACATCGTAAACCGTAATTGGAACCTCCTAATGGGACGGAGGGAGTAACTTTTTTTTTTGCTCCAATTTTTATAAAAATATATCAAAATTCATAACATTTTATTATCTTTCATATGACACCAATATTGAATATGTATTTTTTTTTTAAAAAAAATTGAAGACTTCTTAAACAATTTTCTTATTTTTATAATCTCCATATGGATTATCTCATATTATATAAAGAAATAATTCCTATTATATGAAGAAAGTATATATAAGAAATGAAGATGTGACTCGGTAATTTTTAGAAACTACATTTATGTTTAAATTTTATATTAGTGTGGCTATAAAAGTGTACTCATTATCAATTTAGAGTCGGTTTGATGACCACATCTTTCGACTTATTAGACTTATTAGTCAACTTTTTTATAAAACATTAAACTATTGATTTCGCACGTTGAATTGTGTTAAAATCAAAATTAGTAAAAAATTGTAATTACATTTCCGACTGAATTGTTGAATTTACTGTAAATGATTATTTGTGTTAATCATAATACTTCAAATATAGGTTTGTATCTCCAAATCATTACAAGTTCAAAAACTCTTATAAATATTCAAAAGCTGTGAAACTCCATATATATTCATCTCAAAACTCATACAAGCCTTAGCTTTATCAAAAACATATTTTTCCAAATACTCATAATCAATATTCAACATAATCACCCCACATCAAATCCAAAAGTATCGGTGCGCTGGAAACAAAAAATAATTTTACAATTCAATCAACCTCAAATCCAATGTACCCATATTCAATCCAATCTCAAATCCAATCTAATCCAATCCACCTCAAGTCCTACCTTAAATGCGTACACCGTTGGAAAAATGTGATAAAAATTACATTAAATGGTCATTTTGGGGCAATTATTTGAGTGGGGTCCACTTTCGATTTGGGTCGGGTCAAAGTGGTTTCGGATTGTCCTTGTTAAGGGATACAATTCGATATGTGGTACACTCAAAACGGATAACGGGTGAATGAGAAATTGATTCTCGAAGTTCACTCGTTGAAATGGAAAAACTGGGAAAATGGTGAGTTTCTAGTGTGTTTTATCCCACACCGAAAAACTCAAGGGATTTTCACCCCCTTATAAAGGGAAGTCTCTTTTAAGGAGTTAAGATTCCTAAAGGGAAAGGCTCTCTCTTACGCGCAGGGGGGGGGTGCCGATCAAATCCCGAAACGGAGAAGAAAAACCGCGACTCGTGTGCGCGTGGGCGACCTGCGGACACGATCTATCTCTTAAGAGATACGGTTAATTTTTGTTTTCTTCCCGAAACGTTTATTTTTTCCCAGAAGTGCTCCGGACAGAAAGCCTCGAACAGAACCCCTCGAAAGGGTGTTCTGTTGGCTTCGGACATAACCCCTCGAAGGGGTGTTCTTTTGGCTTCAGACAGAAACCCTCCAAGGGGTGTTCTGTTGGCTTCGGACAGAACCCCTTTAAGGGGTGTTCTGTTGGCTTCGGGCAGAACCCCTCAAAGGCGGTGTTCTGTTGGGGTCTTCTGTCGCGCATTTCTTCCGTTACAACAATTAATGCCCAACGTTCTTCTCTTTTAATGCTAGGTTAAATGGACAGTTTATGGACCATTCAATGCCCAACGGATTGGTAATTGATGTCCAACGTTCAGGTCCATTAACACCCCATTTAACACACAACAAATACTCCTATAAATAGCTGGCAGGTGCTTTGCAACAAGGACACGGTTTTGACAATGCACAATACCTTCCTCACGTTTTCTTGAGCTAAAAACTCTTCCAGCTACTCCCAAATTTCCCTAGTCTTCTGCTTTTGTTCCAGTTCGCCGGGACTTTCGTTTGTGTGCTCAAACGATCATTCGTTAGCCACCGTATCCTGGGAAACGGTCGTTGCAACGCTCCTAGCACCGTGGGAGGCGACGAATACGTTTTAAGGACATCGTGCGTAGCACGAGCTCTGGCTAAAATCTGCTCCATCTTATTTTCTGTTTTCTTTTAGCTATTTTGTTGATTAATTAATTTTATTTAATTAATATTTCTTGGTTTTTTCCGAAACACACCCAACATACACATGCTAAAAGAAATTTCAAGTCATTGCGGTAGTAAGAAGCCCCAGTAGTCGAGATTTTTCTACGAACTACACTACAAACTGTAATACTCCATTTTGGGTAGATATCCCTGGTGCTATAGATACTGATAGCCTATACCACTTACCAAATACTACGTAATAGTTATCTGGATGTGGCAAACCAACTGAGCGAACTTCTTCGGATGTTCACAAATATCATAATTCAATCTTAATCAAAACAGATATGAATTTTTCACAAAATTATTCATAACTCCAACACTAGACTCAAACATACCATTCATGAAAATATAGAATACTTCATAAACCGATGAAATCACAAATATCAATCTAATAGCAATTCATACGTAAATTCAAATATTCAAAAATATCATCCATAATCAATACTCAAATCTCAAAGATAAATCTCAACCAGAACTAATACGTAAGTTTAATTACTAAAAATCACATCGACTATAAAATACTCAAATAATTTCTGGTTGACATCACACTTACCTCAAACTCTAAGTGTACTCTAAACAAATCTTGTACCACTAGTAGAAAACTGTTTTATAGTGACACTTTATTAGTGACACTTCATGATAAAGTGTCACTATTAGACGACATATAGTATTAACAATGCATAAGTGTCATACGTATATGACACAAAAACATCAACAAATAATAGTGACACTAAATAAAAAAGTATTGAATTTTAACCTTAACAAATATTGTACCGAGTATTCACTTTTCGTTTCCCTCCCAAAAATATACTCCCCGCTATCTATTTTTAGTAACCCCGGCCTAGACCAAAACTTTCTTTCCTTAGGAAAAATTTCTGATACGCTTATTTTTTTTCAAACTAAAGTAAGTGACTGCAGGTCAAAATAAACCCACCTTACCTAGCTCTATTCATTCTTCGAAGAAACCCGGCCATAAGCATAGAACCCTAGTAGATACACTGATGTCATCGATTCTATTCACTTCTCTGCTAAATACCATTGCCGCTGCTGAAGGCTGCGAAGAACACCACGGACGGCTCTCGATCGTCAGGTAGCTTGGGAAGAACATCATCGGTACGGTCAATCTCGTGAAGAACACCACCGACGGCTCTCGATCGTCAGGTAACTCTTCTCCATCTGGTTTTTCGGCTATTTCGCTTCAGACTCATTTTAGTCGGTGCTAGGTTTTTGCTTTTTAATAGTTTGCCCGTTCGCCCAAATTGCCATGTTCTTTCGCTCCAGACTCCTAGAGCGACTCTTTCTCCGCTTCCCGTCTTCTGTGAAGCTTCAAGTCTCAAGTAATGATCTCCCATTGATCAGCCCTTTTCAATCTCTCCGCCACCAGACAACTCGAGGTAAGCGTTCATCACTTCACTGAGTTCAGTCTATTTTGTTTTCATCAATTTTCAGCTTTTTAGGAAATTGGAATTATGATTTGCTGTTTACAATCTCAAAATACGATTAAAACAACTTATTTGTGTTAATGATTAAACATTTGGATGTGAAATACTTACAACATGCCCAAAGCATAAGCAGACACAAGGAACCCAACGTTCAACACATGAATGGATAACTGTAGCCTGGACCCTCAAATGATTATTCTTCACACTTCAGATAAAAAAAAGAGACTCAACAGAATACTAAAATCAAAGATATTAAACGTATATGAATCTCTTTTGGATATATGATTAAATATTTGGATGTTATGAATCTGTGTAAATAATACATATGAACTATAAAGTTAGAAGTTAATGTAAGAAACTCAATATTGGAACTTTGTCGGTAAAGTGTTTGACAAATGTCCTCAAAGAAGAATAAGCCTCTTTACTTTTCTAGGTTGGAATTTGGATAGATGAACTGTTCTTGCAAAACCTATACTTTATCAAGCTAATTAAGTTAATCATTTCAGAATTCATATGTTATTTACTTTATCAATAGGTTTACTGGTTCAATTTAAGAAGCTACCATTGTTTTATGGTATTAAATCATTAATTATGGGAGCTAATTTTTATAATGCTCCATGAGGCTTGTATTTCATGACATGATATCCCTATTTGGAGTTTTGCTCCATGAGCTAATTTTACTTTATCAACAGGTTTACTGGTTCAATTTAAGAAGCCATGGTTCTGTTTCTTGGGGTGGTTGCCAGTTTTGAACTTTCTGTCTAAACTATATAACTCAAGCCAATTGTTTTTGCAATGCAATTCATGCCTATTGTGCATTGGAGGTGTTGCTGAACTGTGGGCTGCAATAACATGATCCTAACAGTTACTTGTGAATTTTCAGACCAAGCCTTTTTTTCTTCATGTGAAGAAGTGAAAACAAGGATCACCACATATAGCGTGTGCAGGGACCTCAAAGTCAGAAGCCTTCCCTGCGAAAGTGGTCAAGTGTTTTGTACCAATGTGGACTAATCAAAGTATACTTTGTTTCTCACTCAATTCAACTTCTATTTAAAATTCAAAAATCAACATCTTGTCCAACCTATAGTTTAATTCCTCTGCCGTTTATAAATCCCCCTTCTTATGATTTTATTGCTTCAATAGTCATTGATAATGTACGTTATACTTAATTACTACGCTTTTAAATGTTAATAACTTACTTATTTAATCAGTCCAATATAATCAATTAATTTAATATATTTTTATTAATAAATCCATTTTGTATTAAATAGTCTGATAATTCTAAAATTTTAATTTAATTAGTCCATGGTTTCATTCACTTTATTATATGTTGTTGAGGGTAAGTCCCGTAGATCCGAAAGCCCCACACGAACTTTGGATATATCAGGAATGACTCAGAATCAAAGCGTATAAGAAAATATAAGATCTGAACTAACTAAAACTCGAAAGCCCACTTGTATTAATTAACCAATCTGATTACAAGGAATTTCCCGATCGGTAAGTCGAAAACTATGCTTTAATACAAGAAATAAGAGCAAATGATGCTATTCTAGAGCTTGAGTATTGAAATGCTAACCCTTACAATGACTTGAAACCTTCTATTTATACTAATGAAAAGCATGGGCTGCCTCTTGCTGATTGGCCGTTGTTCCACCGACTTGGTCATCCATGCTTCCACTTGCTGATGTCACAGTCTGACATTAATTGCACCTGGCCACTTGCTGGTTGGCCGTTGCTCGAACGGGATGTTGGGTTGTACTGAAGATGCTGTCAAATTGGCCCAAGTATGATATATAGTCCGAACTCCGTTCGGTATGTCTTCTGACTGGGCCAACCTTTATTTGGGCCGAACTCCGTTCGGTATCTCTTCTTACTGGATCTATTCACCATAGAGTGATGGGCCCGTTGCTTGGGCCGGATATCTTGGGCCTTCCCGACCTGGGTATTGGGCTTCTAGGTCAATATCCCAACACAAGTCCCCCACTTTCGATGTCTCGAACGATAGTGAGTGCATTAGGAAGTATATCAATGTTATAATACCCCGCATGGCGATCGGGGTACAGAAATAATCAGTTCCCCATGCTGTGATTTGACGGCTGCCGCTTCATTTCTCCATTTTCATCATGATAACCGTCGTTTAGTCTTTTCATTAAACACGTGTTTAGCTTAAATGCTCTTCATGACGTGTCGCTTTCTGATTGGTTCTTGACACGGCGGTTTCAAGGCTATAAATTAGCCTTTAACTTCCCAATTCGTGGTTTCGATTCTGCAATTCCTGGGCCTTCGTTGTTTCCTCTGCAATTTTCTCCCTGCTTCCTTTGCTCAGGTAACTTCCCAACTCCGGATTCTCTATCTCCATTTCTGGCTTCGACCGAGATGAGTCCCAAAGAGCATTCCTCTGATTCGGAGATGGCCTCTCATGGAGATGACCGTGATGCTGCCATTGTGGATGTCATCACCGTCCCGTTTGCCGGTGTTTCTACTGAACCGGCGACGAATACCAGGGCTGAGGCGGAGGACCTCCATAGCACTTCTTCTTCCTCCAGTGAGGATTCCGACGACACCAAATCCGAGGACGAAATAGCCTCCATGGCGGCCGGTCGTCCCAACGATGTTCCTCGCCATGCCTTTGACCTAAAATTGATTAGGGAGAGGCGGCAAAAACTGACCTCTCACAATAGGGCCGAAATTCCGGCCCTTATCCCTGACCCGGTGGATTTCCGTTTGCAAGCTGGGCTTCACCCAATGCGTCATAGGCCCGGAATGACAATAGTCCATTTTGACTCAATTAGGGCCGGCCTTAGGTTTCCACTACACCCCTTTTTCATTTCTTTCTTCAATTTCTACGAAGTTGTACCGGCCCAGATTATGCTGAATTCCTATCGGGCAATGGCGGGTTTTATTTGTCGTTGCAAAGATGCCGGCGCCCGACCAACCCTAGAATTCTTCCACCAATTCTTCAAAGTAGCCCCCCAACAAACCCATGGCTATCTGGCCACTAGCGCCTGAACGGGACACATCCTGTTCAAAGGAAACCCATCTTCGATCAAAGGGTGGAAAGACCGGTTTTTCTTCGTGTCTATCCCGGACGGTCTAATTCCCCGCAAATGGAATGCCTTTCCCCGCAAAACCCCTGATCCTGTCCTCACTGATTAAATCTACAAGGACGTGCTTGCTGTGGAGAAGGATAAATGCATGGACATCATGAGTTATCTGACCCCCAACGACTTATAACAGCCGGGATAGGTACTGCCCATTGTCTTGGGTTTACTTGTTTTGATAAACCAAGTGCCTTGGTCCGGGCGGTCCTTCCCGTGCGAGAAACGTTCTTTTGTTCTTTTTTCTAGTTTCTCACACGCTAGGGCCGCTCGATACTAACATTGTTCTTTGTCTTTTTTCAGCACTAAACCCAGATCTTCCTATGGATGATAGCAGAGTCATCGCAGCCGGTGGGGCCAGAAAACGGAAGAAATCTAGGAAGAATCCACAACCTACTCCCTCCATTATTCCCGCTCAGGAGGCTGCCCCTTCCCAACCGCTTCCAGAGCCTCAGTTAATTCAGCAGGTCCACCAGGACCAACTCGAGGCCATGCTGGTCGACGACCGGTTCGGCTCTGATCAACTACATCAATTTTCTCAGCATTTCGACTCCGTTCGGGGGGAACCTTCGAATGCTGGTGAGACCCATACCGACCATATTACGGGTCAGGTCGAACGGATCTCCCTATCCGACCCTGTCCATGAGGTATTAGAGAGGGCCGGCTCTACCGCGAGCCAGATCTGGTCGACCTCCTCTTGGTTCAACAACTTTTCCCTTCCTCAGTTGCCGGTCGAGCAATCTGAAGAATGTCTGGCCCTGACCGCTCTGAAGGTACATCATCTTTTGCGCTTTGTTTTTATTTTATTCTCTGTAATCAGTACTAACTCTCGAACGGTACTCTGTAGATGGGTTTGTACACCCTTCAGATGCGGGACGCCCGTCTGGCCAAGGAGCGGAAACTGATTGTCGCCCAATCTTCTGCTGAGCAAAATGCTGCTGCAGCCATCACTTCTCTGGAGGCCGAACGGAGGGCCTTTGCGGAGGAGAAGCAGAGGCTGGATGCTGAGCTCGGCACCCTCCGGGTCCAGCTTGCAGCTTCCCAGGCCAAGGTCCTTGCTGCTGAGGCCGCACAGGTTAGATTTGAGGAAATGCCATCCAGCATCCCGGACGGTCCCTATGAAGTGAACGTGGATCTGTCCGCCGTCCGGGAAACATTGAAATCCTCTGATGAATTCTCCATCATCAAGGATGATCATGCAAGGGCCCAAATCCCGTTCGCCTTTGGGGCATACTTGAAGGGTTTCCCCAAAGGGGCGGGTCGGCTATCGGCAGGGGTGGCCCTCTTGGACAAGGACCCCGAGGCCAAAAAATGGAACGACTCCATTGTCTCAGACCTCTATGGCAAAATTGGCCAGGTCTTGCTGCGTCCCTTCGTTGCTCAACTTCAAGATAATCTAGGGAGGCCGGTTCAGGCTTCCGATCTTCCCCAAGATGACATCATCCAGGCTCAGTTCGAGAAGTTTTCTGCGAGCCTAGCAACGAGAAGTCGATCGGGTTGCTGGGAAGGAGCCTGAGCCCCTGTCTGATGATAATGAGGACGAGGACGAATAGGGAGATGAAATGGCCCCCGGCCAATAATTCATATGTACTTTTTTCATTCTTGTTGTAATTTTCTTTTTTCCAAGTAGCTTGTATTTCCCGGTCAGTAGCACCGATGAATATATATCCCTTTTTTGCCTGAAACTTTGTGTACTGTCTTTTCTGTCTTTAATGCATGATTTATTCGTCATTCGGGATTCGGCCTGTTTTGTAGGACTTAACCAATTTCCTAAATTATTTCTTGCTCAAATATTCTTGATGCCGTTGATCGCCGTTCGGGCATTAGAAAGTTCTGATGATTTATTTAAGGAAAAACCCCTTCTTCCTGGTACTCTGCCGTTCGGGCTTCATACCAAATTTTAGGACTTAGCACATTCTTGCTTCAGATAATCTCTTACAACGTTGATAGCCGGTCGGGCTTCATTTCAATCCTTAGGATAGCTTTTATGACGTTGATAGCCGGTCGGGCTTCAGGTCAACTTTTAAGACTTAGCAGTTTTCTTGGTTTTCTTTGCACCTGGGCTTCTTCATAACATTGATAGCCGTCGGGCTTCAGGTTGACATTTAGGACTTAGCATTTTTCTAAACAGCAAGCCCCTGTGATCTTTGCTAATCCTCTGTAAGCCCGTCCGGGGTACGTGCACAAAAAATGAATCATAAATGCTCCAGATTAGTCGTAACCACCCAATGCCACGTGTTGCCCATGGATTAGGGATTTGTGCGGCACTTTCCCTATTTATAGAGAGGTGCTTCCCCTAATTTCTCCTGCTGTTTTCTCATTTTTCTTTCGAGCTTTCTCTCTCTAGAATTCTCAGAATTCCCTTGCATACTCTCAAGCCTTCTCTCTCTAGAATTCCCAGAGTTCCTCCAGCGTTTTTATGTACTACTCCTCTAACTGAGAATCTGAAGAGATGCCTTTGATTCGTAAAAGCAAAACATCCGCTGGTAACCAGGCCGATGGCTCTTCGTCCCAAACACCTAAACCCGCCAATCCTCAGGCCAGCAAACATATCGAACTGCCAAAGGAGGACGGATGTATGTCCGGAGATGACCTCCAAGTTTACAACAAGGGGATGCCCGAGCGGCCACCCCGCATTGCCCTACACTTCAATCGCATACGCAAACACAAACAACGTCTCCCAGAAGATGTTGAACGGCAACTCAGCGAGTTGTTGCCCCCACCAAGAGAATACTATGCCGGATTCATTCGGCACCCTATGAGGCACCGACCGGGGCACGTGCTAGTGCACCTTGATGCTCTGACTGCTGGACTTCGGTTCCCTCTCCATTCATTCATAGTGGAGTTCTTACGCCGAGTTGCTGTACTGCCCGCTCAGTTCGTGCCCAGCACCTACCGCATTCTGACAGGCTTCATTATCCGGTGCCACGAGTTAAGGATCACCCCAAGCGTCGATCTGTTCCTATATCATTACTGCTATCAGCCCTACTGGACGACCGGGTATCTGAAACTGGTAGCTCGTTCTGACTGTCAGCTGTTCACAGAGAACGTTACCCCGCAGGCTGACTGGGAGGAGCGGTTTTTGTTCGTTCGGGTAGGTGATTCTCTGCCATTCCCGGATAGGTGGAACGCATATCCCGTTCGGGATTCTCTGCCCAGGGTAGACGCCGTTCTACGCTCCCAAGCTGAGTCCTTGCGGATGGGAGGGACCAGAAGTCTTCGCAGCTTTGTCACTACCTCGAGCATGTTATCTGTTGGAATCGGTAAGCATAGTAGGGCTTTAACCCGATCATCCTTCGCTCTCACAATTCAACTTCTTATCTTTTATTTCTCTTTCTTGTAGGTGTGATATCTCCCATACCCGTCCGGCGCTCTATCTCTTCTGCTAAAGGGAAGGAGAAGATGATAGCCGATCGTGACTCGGCGGAGCAAACCCGCAAAAAGCGCAAAGGAAATGATGACGATCACCTGATCCCGATCGACCATGTGGTTGATTTGACCGGGCCGGAGGTCGAGCCCAAAAGATCGGTGCCTGCCAACAAACCAACTCCGGTTCTTACTGCCACACCGATCGATGATCGGATGTTTGTTGAATTTTCAAATATGGGGCCCAGATCAGAAGGGAGGTATCTGTTCGGGCTGGTGTCATACTGCGATCAAGGTTCCCCCGAGCTTCACCAACTTGACTCACTGGTCGGACCTTTTCGAAGCAGGTCACCAGGAAGCACTCAAGGTACATTTCATTCCGACTCATGCCTTTCTACTATTCATGTTTTACCTTATATGACTTTCATTGTAATCTTGTTTTCAGGTTGGCGTGTATTATCACAAGGCCTTTCTTGCTGCTGAGAAGGAGATGAAAGCCCTGGCCAGCGATCGGGATGACGGCTAGGTCCTCCTTTCTGCCGCTCGGAAGTTAGCGACCGACCTCCAAGAGCAGGCCAAAGAGGGTGAGAAGGCAAAAGCTGCTCTGGCCGAGATGCAAGAGATGTCCCGTCGTCGCGACCGGGAGCTTAAAGAACTCCGGGCCAAGGTGCGGGCTGCCGAATCTGCTGGCATCAAATTTGATAAGGCTGTTGGCGACCATCTGCCCGAACCCTACACGGTCAATACTTCCCAGATTGCTCAGCAATCGGTAGTGGATTTTCAACGGGGCAAGGGGCTGAACGTCGCTCTGGAGAACACGGCCCGACAATTCCTAGGTCCTCACCTTGGCCAATTTTTGCGTGAGAGCTCAGATCCTATCAAGGCAGGGAGCGACCTCCTGGACAGCACACCGGAAGGGAAATCTTTCTTGGATGTCCTGACCGAGAAAACCGTAAAGCAAAGTCAGGACCTGCTTCTGGACAGGAATCTTGAACTGATCTTAGAGCGTTTCCCCAAGCCGTTCGATCCTGATGAATTAGGCTTCGACGATCTGTTCGGGAATACGTACGATCGCGTCATGGAGAAAAGATCCAAAGCAGCGCCTGACGATGCAGTGCAGGCAGGGAGCTCTCAGCCTACATCCTCCCCGAACGGCAATCCTCCAGTAGTGTAGCCTTCTTTCCTTATCTGTTGTCTCTTTCTATTCTTCCTTTGATTTTTTGTTCACAATCTTTTCTACGTGGCCGAACCTTACTCGGCTCATATATCTTTATATCTGACACCTTTTCCGAATCCGTTTTGATCCCTTTTCCTGTTCGTGACGCACGGGTTCAAAACTCTTAGCTGAGGTGAATTCCTCCAAGCCGTTTTGATCGTGACCACAGGGTCAAACTCTCGGCTGGGATAGGGGCTCCCTCCAAACTGCTAACCCGTTCGTCATTCGGTCATCCAGAATGATTTCATGCGTTAACAAGCTGAGGTGAGGCTATCTCCCTTCCAAACCCATAATTCCGATGCATTCCGAACTGTTCTCTCTGGCTCGTATCATCCATATTAGGGGTCTGAGGTAACCCTTTTCGAACTGTAAGCAAGATCACCGAATTTGGGTCATTCCTTACTTATAGCTAAAAGGGCGACTAGCTTCCAAGTCAAGTTTTATGACTGAGGCGAGATTTTTCAAAACCATAGTTCCGATTCCCCGGGTGACAATCCGTACCTTATCCGAACGTCGCTCGGTTAATCCATATCTTACAGTCTTGACACCATCTCCAAGCCGTTTTGATCCCTTTGCCCGTACGTAATTACAGGGTCGACTTTGGCTAAGTTGACGACTCAGCTCCCTCCAAGCTGTTAACCCGTTCGTCATTCGGTCATCCAGAATGATTCTACGTGTTAACAAGCTGAGGTGAGAATCACTGTCCTTCGAACTCCAGGCCATTTTGATCCCTTCATCAATGCGTAATTACAAGGTCAAAACTCTTGCTGAAATAATGGCTCCCTCCAAACTGCTAATATGTTCGTCATTCGGTTTTCCAGAATCGATTCTCATATTAACCGCTGAGGTGAGACTATCTGAGCGTCAAACTCCAAGCCGTTGGCTGAGAATGACTTTCCTTCCATGCTGTTAACTCGTTCGTCATTCGGTCATCCGGAATGATTGAGTTAACCACGGGCACCGATTTTCTGAGCCTCAATTCTTCAAGCCGTTTTTGATCCCTTTATTCTTACATAATTCTAGGGTAAAAAACTCTCTAAACTGAGAATTGATTTTCCTTCCATGCTGTTAACCCGTTCGTCATTCGGTCATCCGGAATGATTGAGTTAACCACGGGCACCGATTTTCTGAGTCTCAATTCTTCAAGCCGTTTTTGATCCCTTTATTCTTTCATAAATCTAGGGTCAAAAACTCTCTAAGCTGAGAATTGATTTTCCTTCCATGTTGTTAACCCGTTCGTCATTCGGTCATCCGGAATGATCGAGTTAACCATGGGCTGAGTTTGTGTGGAAGTTATGTCTCCCTCTCTATATTTTTTTTAGAGGTGGCAACAGCCGTTTTTATTGATAAAATTTCCTCAGATGCTCCACATTCCAAGTTCCTGCCGGTCGGCCTTCAGTATTTTGTAGGCCAAACGTTCCTGAAGCATACTTCTTACATACTTGGTAGGGGCCTTCCCAATTTTGTGCCATTTTGCCCCCTTCGAGCGGTTTGCTTTTCTCTCTCTTTCTTAGCACCAGGTCCACTACCTCGATTGAACGAACTTTAACCTGCTTGTCAAAATATCTTCTCGTGGCTCTGTGATACTCTTCCATTCGTGCCGCTGCCAGATCCCTTCTTTCTTCTACGAAATGCATTTCGGCCCGTAAGTTGTCTTCATTCTGTTCTGGGCTGTAATGCACCGTTCGGTGTGTAGGAACTAGGATCTCCGTTGGTACTTTGGCCTGGAAACCATAGGCAAGGGCAAATGGAGTCTCTCCCGTGGCCGTTCGGGGTGTGGTCCTGTATGTCCATAGAATATAATTCAACTGATCAGGCCACGATGAGGAGTATTCTTCCAGCTTCTTGTTCATACCATCCATGATAGTTCAGTTCATATTTTCTACCTGGCCATTTGCCTGAGGGTATGCGACGGACGCTCTGGAATGCTTGATTCCCCATTTGACCAGGTAGTTCTCAAAATTTCGGCTCACGAACTGCCTTCCATTGTCAGTTACAATCTGTTCAGGGATTCCGAACCGGCAAATGATATTTTTCCAGACAAACTTCTGGCATTTAAC